GACTTCAGAACATCAGGTAGGAAAAGAAAACATTGTTAAGTCTAAGCACAAAAACAGTTGAGGAAAAAATAAATAATCTGCTTTTAGCCATTCATCTTAAAGCCCAGGGTTAGCAGGCAACGTCAGGCTAATTCAGTTTCTCATACTATAATGCACTTAGAGGTTTAAGTTTCCATCCAGAAAGTCCAGTTTGTGCCACTGTATTGGGTTTGCATGGCAAGGTTTTGGTAGCGGTTGGGGCTACAGGGGTGGCTTCTGTGAGAAGCTGCTAGAAGCTTCCCCTGTGTCTGACAGAGCCAATGCCAGCCGGCTCCAGACGGACCTGCCGCTGGCCAAGGCCGAGCCAATCAGCAACAGTGGTAGTGCCTCTGTGATAACATATTCAAGGAGGGAAAAAAAAAACCCACAGGGACACAAACTGCAGCTGGAGTGAGGAGTGAGAATATGTGAGAGGAACGACTCTGCAGACACCAAGGTCAGTGCAGAAGGAGGGGAGGAGGTGCTCCAGGCACCAGAGCAGAGATTCCCCTGCAGCCCATGGTGCAGACCATGGGAAGGCAGGCTGTGCCCCTGCAGCCCATGGACACCCACGGTGGAGCAGATATCCACCTGCAGCCCGGGGAGGACCCCACGCTAGAGCAGGGGGATGTGCCTGAAGGAGGCTGTGACCCTGTGGGAAGCCCACGCTGGAGCAGGCTCCTGGCAGGACCTGTGGACCCATGGAGAGAGGAGCCCACACTGGAGCAGGTTTGCTGACAGGGCTTGTGACCCCATGGGGGACCCACGCTGGAGCAGTCTGCTCCTGAAGGACTGCACCCCATGGAAGGGACCCACACCGGAGCAGTTTGTAAAGAACTGCAGCCCATGGGAAGGACTCACACTGGAGAATTTTGTGGAGAACTGTCTCCCGTGGGTGGGACCCCACGCTGGAGCAGGGGAAGAGTGTGAGGAGTCCTCCCCTGAGGAGGAAGGAGCAGCAGAGACAACGTGTGATGAACGGACCGCAACCCCCATTCCCCGTCCCCCTGCACTGCTTGGGGGAGGAGGTAGACAAAATCAGGAGTGAAGTTGAGCCGGGGAAGAAGGGAGGGGTGGGGGGAGGTGTTTTAAGATTTAGGGGTTTTATTCCTCATTATCCTACTCTGATTTGACTGGAATAGATTAAACTGATTTCCCCAAGTCAAGTCTGTTTTGCCTGTGACGTTAATTGGGGAGTGATCTCTCCCAGTCCTTATCTCAACCCACAAGATTTTTCGTTATACTTTTTCTCCCCTGTCCAGCTGAGGAGGGGAGTGATAGAGCATCTTTGGTGGGCACCTGGCGTCCAGCCATTTAAGAAAAAAATTGTGTACATTTAAGCAACAGCTCGGTTATATTTAGCAGTGACTCAATCAGCCACAGTTGACTGATCTTTGTTTAAAGGCAAAGATAAACCAAAGTGAGATTTGTCTCTACCCCAAAGGACTCCCATGGCCAGTTCCTAGGCTCAGGTGGCTCCTGAAGTTTGCAGTTCAGGCTTAGGTAAGTTTTGGGATTACTTAGTCCCGGTGAGCCTGGAAAGCCCAGGCTGACCATATTGTGAGAACAGGCATTATGCATCTTTATGCATTCCCATCACTTGAACTATACTTTTTTTTAGCTGAAAATGAACCTCCTTCAGTTTGCTGCACCCCAGATACTCACCAAGGCTGCCACAGCTGCAGTGTCCTGCAGCTCTATATCCTCACTCGCTCCATCCCAATCTTGAATTCGCCCTCATGCCAATGGGGCTCATTTTGCAGGTGGAGAATTGAGACCTGTTTAAGTCATATTTGAGGCCTGTGATAAAACAAAGAACTGACACCCCATCTTGCTAAGCTCTGATTAATGTTGCAGGTTTTCAGCCAGATTTGATGAGCTAATCATTAAGATGTGACAAAAAAAAATCAGATCTTATCTCGGGAAAGCTACCAGGAATGGGATCACATGTTCCCAGACCCTAGGGAATGGTGACAAGGTTTTGCCGTGAACTCTAATATTCCCACCTGAAAAGCAGCAGTTGGGGCACCTCCCTCCCTCGTAAAGACCTCCTCTCACATATGGGCTGCACAAGCACTGTGAAGGAGCTAGACTGATGTTATCTGTAATGTCCAACGGATTAAAAAAAAGTTGTTTTCAAGATCAAGTTTACATATCTCTTGTATTCACACAGGTATTCAATATTTGGGTATTCAAAAAAAGACACCCAAACCCAAGACGTGCTACAACCCATCATGGGCTAGAACACAGCTGGAGCCAGCAAACCAGTCACAGCAGCCTCTATTTCAACTGGAAAGCTCTGATGCTTAAATTGGAATCCGCTCAATAAATAAATTACCCCAAATACTTTGGGAAACCTACTGTCTGGTGGGGCACTTTTCCTCTCCCTGCTCTCCTTTCTGATTCATGGGAGAAATTTTCAGACACAAGGTTTTATTATGCAAATACCTGTGGGCACTTAATGGGATGGTCTTTATTATGTTGTTATTTCTGTATGACAGTTTTGGTCTTAATGAATGCAACCACAGTGCTGAGCTTTCTTCTGCAACATTATGAAGGAACCAGAAGTTTCGCCTCTCTGTACCTGCACGGAGAGCCCAGGGACCCTGGAGCAGAGGTGCAGGGCAGGTTTACAGACCTCTTGGGAGCAGAAATTCTACCACTGGTGTTGAGCACTTCTGTGTGATTTATGCACTTCTGGGTTGAGATGGAGGTTTGATACAGTAACTTGCCTTTGATGGCACAGTAAATCTGTCAAACACTGGAGTGTATCAGGTGGCCTGGATCTGAGTCTTCACTCATTGCTGTTTCACTTCCTGTGCTGCTTCATCACAGTAGTTTGCTGTTGTGCAGTAATTTAAACAGGACTTAGGTGCTCACAATGCTTTCAACACGTGCTCCTGCCCATCCAGCCCTTCTCAGCCTAAACCCCATGCCATCTGCCAGCACTGACAGCTCTGGTTTGGGGTTGTGATGTTAAAATAAGCTGTTAGAAGGCATGGCCAATGCCAGAGTAATAAACATCATGACGCTGAGACAGAAAATGGTGGAACAACAAGCCTTAGTGGGCAAGGGAAAAACATAGCCCGTATAGCACAGTGACCAGAATACATGCAATGAGAGGGCAGGTCTTCCCTAAACACACACAAAGAGAGATTGTTGTCCTGCAAATAAAAAGAAATCTTTGTCTACACCTTAAACACACCTAACTCAGCATCCAGGCACAGCTGGGATGGGATTGTCTCACCTAACCTCACCCAAATCAATGTTAAACCTCCAGTATAAGACATCCTCTTGGCAATGGAGAGCGACGGGGAGGACCTACCCCACCATGTGAGGTGCCATGGGTCTCCTCCTGCAGCACATCTAGACTTTTTTGGGGAGAATGTGGACAATGGCTTCAGCCTAGAAACTTGGTGTTCAGACGGCTTTTAGGCACAGTTTTGCCTCAATTTCTAAGCAGATTAGTAGATTAAAACCCCTTCAGTACAAATGTGGCTCATCCAGAGAAGGTAACAGGGAAATATTTCTGAGTCTGGCAATGAGCATAGACTTTTTAACAAACAGAAAAGAAAAGCAACAGAAGAAACAGCTTTGTCACAGAGGAGTTTATCCCTGTTTCCACCTATCACCACCACATACTGTACAAGCACAGTGACGGTACAGCCTGTTATCCACAACCTCCCTGCCTTGGCTAAACTTCCAGTATAGGCAGCCAGAGTATTTACATGGGAAATGTAAACAAAAGCAGGAGGCTGAAGTCATACATACATCAAATCCTGATGATAAGCACCCAGGGCCTGAGTGGATAGAGCTAAAATGCCAGAAGAACAAGTGCTGCTACTTTGTGGCTTTAGGGAGGTCAGGCATGATTTTGATAATGAAAGAAAACCTAAAAATCACATCGTAATTCTTGAAAACCCCTTGTGTCATAAGATGGCCATTCTGCTTCCAGACCTAAAGGGAAACTTGTTGTATTTTCTCCTTAAAGATTGTAGGGGAGAAGGACATTGTGCTAAGGGATTTGCACGATGAGATGATGACCACTAGGCATAAAGAAAAACACAAAGGAATTCACAGGATTTAGACAAAATACTGAAGTGAGGATATGGGCAGAGGTAAGAGAAAAACAGACAGGAAAAGTTAGTAGGGAACTGGGTAAATTATCCCTGGAGCTGCAGATCCTGAAAGTCCAGCTTAGAGTCTGCTGTTGGTTTAACAGATGCCAGCAGTGACAGAAGCAGTGTTGTACCCCACTTTGTTCCAACTCTATGGCAATTGAACCAGCAGCATTCCCATGCTGCTTTCTTCTTAAAACATGGTAAAAGATAAAACTACAGAAGAGGCTGAATTAGTTCATCATCACTAACTTTCAGTATCTGACACATCCACCAATCCTCTAAAAGATATGAGATCTACAGTGAATCTTGGAATGATGATTTTTAATCTAGAATATGCTTAAAATTAGGATAAGCAGCTTTTGGTTTGCTCCAAAACTTTTGGAGAGGCAAAAGGAGTGCTAGAAAACTAATGCTATGGTAAATCCCAGCCAAGCTGAAATGGCTAATTATCATCCCGTTAAAAAGCACTGTTTGTTTTCTTTACCCAGTTGGTAGTTTTTACTCTGCTGGGTGAAAGAGAAAGGAAATGTCTTAAAATGCTCTGCTTGTGTACGCTCTGCTCTGCTCATTGGCTATTTGCTTTCAGCATTATTTACCCTCATTTGGAAGATTTTTCCAAATTATGCTTTTACTTGCAGCTCTGGCATGACTATGGTATTCCAGAAAATAGCTACCCTAAGAGCAGTTGGGAAAATGCACCTTCATATCTGAGGTATTTTTTAACAAGAAGCTGGGCCTTACACATTTAAGAGAGAAGCCAACAGACATGTTGCACTTCCATACTCTGTCCTCTGTCCATCCAGCCTCTGCCGGGTACCGCCTGCTCCTGGCACATGCAGTCCCAGGAGAGTAACTCCTCACCTGTGGTCCCCAGCCATGGCACGGGTACAATATTGCTGTGTGGTTCTCCTGCGGGCCCTGGTCAAGGCAGACATCTTTTGCCTTGTTGTTTCGAAGCTGTAAGAAATAAAAAAGTGCAGAGTTATATGGCCCTGTCTCTTTAGAGATAAGCAATAAACTGATATGCAGCAATGTCTCTAGCCCCTCTTGCTATAGAAAGAATATACAGTGCTATATCACCAGGCATAATCAGGCAGAGAAAGGTTTACTGCGCCATATGTTTTCTTTAAATACAGGGCCTAATGATGACTGCTTTTATATAATAATCACCATTCAAAGGAGCCAACTTCCTTGAACACAGCTTTCTTTGTATTTGGTCATGTGTGGTGGTAACAAACATATTTTTAGACTGCCGTCAGCATGTTGCCAGGAGCCTGAAATCAATGCAGAATTGCTTGTATTTCATCGAAATCTCGAAGTGCTCAACAAGGCAGGAAAAAAAGTGCAGCTAGCACAAGGAATCATCATGGGGATGCAGGAGGAGATGCAGAGATGGCAAACCAGCCATCAAGTACTGAAGGACATGCTTCAGAGGGAGCATGGAAGTGGTAGGTTCATGCTACAAAGCCAAATGGCTGCTGACCCCCAGCCACCAGGTCTGTTAACGCAGAGATGTCCTCTCTCCAGGCTCCCCATGTAGGGCATCTGCAACAATGCCTTTGAAAATACTGCTTTTTGGGGGGTTTTAGCCTGAGGGCATTAAGTAACTCTGATAATAAATCTTTCCTAAAATTAATGCCCATCTGGGGTGCTCGGGCTGTGCTTCAAGAAGGCTTCTCAAACTGCCACTATTCCACAAGACGTATTGTGACAGAGTATTATTAGTTCCCATAAATGCCTGTTTTTATATTCCCAGTATGATCTCAAAGCCAGCAGAGATTGCATTACATCTCCTTACTTTATCTTGTCCTTAAGCTGTTGTGACAACGCACTGTATCCCACAGAGACCTTGTAAGGAATTAGGCTGAGTTTAAGTCAAAGGGTTTTATAAAACAACTATGTATTAAAAATATACGTACAGCTGCTTAATCCATGGAGTCAATAGGTAATATAGATAATTTTCTGTCAATTCAGTAAATGAGGTATTAAAATATTTTACTGTATATGGTCTCTAAGATCAGAAATAAATCCCAAAATAGGTTTTTAGAAGAAACTGTGAACAGATTTATAAAAGTTTATATAATTATGCACAAATAGTAGGTTTTGATTCACATTCCTCTCCTTTGAGGCTATTTCTCATCAGGGACTCACCAGCTGTAAATATTACCAGTCTGATCTAAGGGACTGCTCAGCCTTAATTACCTCTCCATAGGCGACGGTGTTGTTGTATCTTCTCATTTCTGGATAAACGTGGTCCAGGTACCACTGGAAATTTTTACACTTCAAGCTCTTCCTTAATGCTTTTCTCTCAGAAACATCCCCAATGTCAATACCTGGATTCTGAAAAATAAAGACATAGCACGTCACTGAACGGATACTCTTAAAAAAAATTTAAACCCAGCACATTTCACTGATGTTTGATACCACTTCCAAGCTGTCTGGAAACTGCCAACAGCTGAGTAACTCCACACAGAGGCCATGCCAGGGAATTTTAGCATGAGTGTGCAAGCTGAAATTGTCCTCACAGAAGTCAGAAGGAAGACTTGGATTTCACAGCCACAGCAAGGAGAAGATGCATACTTCTCTCATAGGTTTTGAAGGCATCCTTGCAGTGGCCACCAGACTGATGCTGGACATGTTTTGGTCCTGGGAAGTCATTTAGAAAAGAGAATCTAAATGGAGAAGAAAAGGTTTTGAAGGAAAGATGAGAAGTGCAGTGTAAAAGAGGCACATCTTCCAACCAATTTCCCTGGGTTTTGGATGCATCTGAAAAAGATGGAATTTGTCAATGAACAACATAGTACACCAAAGTATTTTTAAAAGGTCTCTCTTCCTGTTTAGGTACTGATGTACAGGTCTTCCAGAAGAGCTTAACAGCAAATATACATCAGGATTTAAGAGATGGTCACATGCTGAATCCTGGAAATGCGAACACCTGACTGTGCATTGAGCACCAAAACCTTTCCCCTTACTCACCAAGAGTGTGTGACCCTATTAAGAGGCAAGACAGAGGACAGCATAGTTAAAGGGTATAAAATAATGGGGGGAAAGAAAAGAAGAAAAAAAAGAAAGGTTTAAGATTCATATATAATAGAGGCAGATAGATAGCTAAGAATAAAGGATAAAAATTACAGGAGAAGAGAAGTTGAAGCTGAACCTTGGAAAAACCTCTTGACAATTTGGACAATTATGCAGTGAAAGAGTCTCCCTGGAGACACAGAGGAACCCCACTGCTTGAGCCGATTTAAAAGCAGACAAAGCTACAATATCTGTCCCCAGAAGAATAATCTTACAGAAGCCAGGAGCAGGGGCTGAAGAGAGCTGCCCCCCCTTAACCTTTTATTCCATTACAGAATTTGGGGAACTAATGAAGCAGCCAGGTGAAGGAAAGCAAAGGCACATTGCAGCCCCTTTTACTCCTTCCTACAGGTGTCTGGGTTTCTTCTCTGTTTTAGCTCCTGCTCTTGTCTTTTCCAGTGATCATTACACCTGGGAAAGCAATTTTCCATTACAACGCTTGTAATGATCTTCTAATGAATTATTCACTCTGCTTTAGAGAAGACACCATTTTAATGTGCGACTGGTAGCTCATAGGTAAAAATAAAGATGATTCAGTGTAGACAGGTAGGACAGGCTGAAATCTGAGTGGGTGAGATGGGATGCAGAGCAGAATAGGACCACAAGCCAGTCAGTACCTGAAATATTCAGTGCATGGGGTTTGGCTTGGTTTTGAATATAGTGGCATCACAAAATAATTCAGTTTATATCCACAACCCCTTGCACAATACCTACTACCTGTCAAACAAGGCTTCTCTAAAATTAAATCTCGATGTTACTGGTAAGACCTGTATAAAAATCTCAAATTGTTTTTAGGGTAACCCAGATCTGTTTCCGCAGACCCACCCCCAGTGTTGATTCATGTGATGCTGCCTTTTCCGAGCTGAACCAGGACCTGCGGCTTCCTGGTCAATTTTAATCCCTTTTTGCTGTGCTCCAAAGCTGTTCCTGAGCTTTCTAAAAAGGAATCAGCCTGAAGATCAGGGCTGAACCCACAGTAATTTATGATCCCTGCCTATGGGCGTTTGGATCTTGCAACTGATTTTTAAGAGAGACCTGATATCACTTAGTCCTTCAGGCAACTCTCTGCCTCTCTGAGCGCTTGGAGCAGTGCCTGTCACAGCCAGTGCCCTTCTGTAGCTCGCTGGGTAAACAGCATTTCTTTCCATCTCTATACATCTATTTCTCAATAACGAACTAATCCAGGACTCTCCACTACCCCCAGGATGACAGACTGGCAGTGCAGGCAGCTCATCGACCCTTCCCAGGTACCTGTTGTTCTCTAATGCAGTGCAAAGTTGCAACTACCGTGGCTCTAAATGCCAGCAACTCTCCCCAGATGTAACCTTTCCTCAGAAAGCAGCGGCAGCTCATGTTTTTGTTTTAATGTTTTTCAAAATGCCCCAGAGCACAGTGCTGCCAGCCGTGGATGCTGCCACAGTAGGATCAGGTCTGCAGCAGCTCTTTGCAGGGGTGTGATCTGCAAGGTATGACTATTTCATGTTTATTTTTAACACCAAAAGGGTGGCTATAAATAACTGCTCACAAGGTGTCTGCCCACTCGTGGCAATGGTTTGTCCTCGCACTTGAACAGAGCAGCCCAGCACTCATGCTTAAGTGCACTGCAAGTGGAGTGGGTGACAGGGGGTTCTGCAGGGCACCCTGAATCCTTATCCCACCCATCACCTGGAGAGCATTGCTGCTCCCCCTCCCCCTCCCCACCACCCCTTCTTCTCCTTCTGGCAGGACCAGAGGCAGGAGATGGTGGGACTGGTCCAGCCAGGGCTGCTCCCAGCATGCTCCAGGCAGTGTTCAGAGCTGGGAGGCAGGAGATGGTCTTGGGTTTCATGATTAGACACAACCTGCATGGAGACCAGAGCCCAAGCAGCAGCCTTCGACCTACATAAAGTCATCCTGGAGCCTATGGAGCTTTACACAGAAGTGCAGGGAATCACCTAGAGAGGTCCACGTGCAGGACGTGTCCCCCTGGGCATGGTCAGCTTGTCTTGCTGGCAGGACCCCACAGTTTTCCAAAGATGTACCATGCTGCGACATGGCAGGATTTACATGAAAAATAATGTGTCAGATCTAAGAAAATCTAACCATTTCTGTGCAGAAATAAATATAACCACCAAAGCTATTTAAAGGGAGTATTTCTGGAGCACTTGCACATGGCACTGCTGGGAGGATATCTCCTTCTGTGAGCCACTGACATCCAATCCTTTACCTCTGAACAAGGTTTCTAAGCGCTTATAGCCTTGACTTTCCCAGCGCTGGGAAAGCAAACGACCCAGACACCTGGACCACACACCGTCCACAGTGAGCTCTGGGCAGCGACAGCATCTGCTAGCTGGGAAACCTGAGTTGGGCTGCATGTGACCTGCCCGAGCTGCAGAAAAAAACCTCATACGCTAATGATGCTGATATTAATAATCTTCTGCCAACCAACTTTACAGACAGACTCTATCTGCAGAGCAGTGTAACGACATAAACTCATGCTGTGTAAACACTCAATGGGGAGATAAACACTACAATACAGGTTTAATTTTTAGAAATGAAAATAAAAAGGCTGATGTGAATCGTAGGAATTCCTCCACAGTCTTCATGTTTTGCAGCACCTTTGTCAAAGCTGAGGGAGCTCTGTTGACTTACACCTGGGGGTGCAACCCAGGGTATTTAAGGCTCTCCTCCACCCAGGGGTACTAAATGCTCTATAATTCAAGTTTCTAACCCAATAAAGTGAAGACTTAGGATAGGGTGCAATGGCCGTACCTCCAGCGGCAGGTTCCATGCGATGTAGACATGTGATTTGTAGTCGTCCATCCACACCTCGGCCACCCGCAGGGCATTGCGCTTGGTGTAGAAACCAATGTTGTTGTTGTAGGGCTTCTTCTTGCGCTCAATGTGAGCCACCCGGGAGCAGGGCAGGACCTCCATGCTGCCGCCGCACAGCCACACCTGCAACACAACCACACAACACCGTCAGCACGGGGCTCTGCCATGATGCAAAGGGTCCATGTTTAAATTAAAGAGCAAGATGGCGGGTTTTGAGGTTTCTATAATATTACACTGAGCGCAGAGCATCACATCATCTAGCTGGCAAGTGGAAACCCATGGCCAGGTTTGGCCTTTGCTCAATGGCAAGACAAGCAGGAATAATTTAACCTGTGCCCAGAGCAAAACACTTGTCGACATTAGAGGCATCAAGTCTATATCCAGCACGTGGTATTAATGCATTGTAGGATCAGGTGCTGAGTTTACAGGGATGTTGCTACTAAATAAAAAGGATTAATGACTGGAATAGTTGAAACAATTGCAAGATCTCCTCCTGCAGAAGGGATGACTCAGTGAAACATATGGCAGGGACAGATTTCTCCCACTTGAAAACATTTGTTCATTATTTTTCTTTCACATGATGTTTAAAATTCCCTTAAGTCACAGTTTACAAGTTACTAAAATCTTTTGAGATCTTCTTTTTATCACACGGAAAGGGAATTCAAAGAAAGGCATGCCATACCTGGGTTCTTCCCTCCCTGTTTGTCTTCACCAAGAAGTTATTTATCTTAAATTAAAGACATGCACCCAGGACACCAGGCAATCGTTACAAACACATATGCCAAACAGGCCTAATAATCCCAGTTTCGCCTATTTTGCAGTCCGCTCCACATTACCATTTTGCACAGTTGTTATAACACCCATCATTTCTGGGATCTCTTCCAGGCTCACCACCTTTTATCCCATCTGCATTCCCTAAATTTTACTGACCCTGCTCAATCCACTCTCCCTGCACCACGAGGATCCTCCTGGCTGTATCAGCTGCCCTTTTTAATCTCTAAGCGGTTGTTTTAGCACACCCAACACAGGGCATGTGCACATCCCAAGCCCAGGTGACACAAGTAAGGGACAGTACTACACGGAGATGTCTTCCCTTGGGGTAATCCTGCTACTTGTGCTGTTCTTGCTTGGATTGCTGCAGAATATTGCAGCCCACGTCAAAAAATCAGAGCCCCATTTATTAGCTGGTGCATAAACATATAGAAAAAACGCCATCTTACTCCTGTTCTGCCGTTTGATCTTTCTGAACACTTTTAATTACAATTTCATGCCTCCAGAGCGAATTCAGAGTTGGTCTCTGAGATGAGGGGCATGCCTGACCCTCCTATCCAGCCTCAACCATGCTCACCTCTGGCCAGCAAAGTCCACAAGGTCTGCTTGAAGTTTTGCAACAGGCTGGGAAAGCAAGTAAGAATTGGACAGGGTAGTTCTAAAGAAAAATACTTCTTTTTTTAAGGAATATTCCCAAGGCAACAGTTTGACAGAAACTGCCTGTGTTTCTTGCCTGCTCAGTTCTTTAGTTCCTCAATGTCTTGGTCAAATAGGAGCATTGAGCCCTGCCCTTGGGTGCTCCCAAAACTGCTGGGCTCAGCCGCAATGCTGAATAAAGCTGCGAGACCTGGAAGATCGCCAGCAACACCTGCTTTTGTAGTTTTGGGGATTTGTTAAGTTTTGTCCTGATTTGAGATCAGAATAATTATTTTAAGAACGTAAAAACTGTGACACAATTAAAATGTCATTTTCCAGTAATCTTGCCTCTAGCAGTAAAGGTGCAATATTGTCTTTCCATGCTTTAGTTAAATAATTCACATGGCTTTATGCTAGACAGCTTTCCTAGATTTCTGGAATATCTGTACAAGCTATCTTGAAATGCACATATTGTAATAACCTGAGAGAGGAGGAGTGTTGGGCATTGTGCAAAGGGCATTGATGATATACATATCCACAAGACAGTTCCAGAGAGATCAATAAAAATTTAATTCAAAAAAGGCACTTACGCAAGGAAAGACCATACTCCTATCTCCTAAATAAAGCCTAAACTGTCATTATAAATTAAAAAATCTGTTTTTACAAGGCATTTATAACCATTTCTGCTAGTAACAATGAGAGCAAGGACAACTATTGCATGGGAAACAGCCAAGTTGCACCCGGCATCACTGTCCTCAGTGTACAGAGGAGTAAACCATGGCCCCAGGAAGACATTGCTTGCTCCCACGTGGCCTGGCAAGGACTTTCTGTTCCTGCTGACATGCAAAAACGCATGTGAACAGGTCCACAGGTGACAGCAAAGGGACTGCAATCCAGGAGACATCCTCCATGGCCACAAAGCATCTCAGTGTCTTTGCCCTACAAGCTCAGTGTCATGCTTTATCCTTGCAATAACCACAACTGTGCAGCGGTGAATGACCCCAAGAAAGGCCCCAGACTTTGTCCTCTGGGTGCCAACATGAGATGAGCTGTGAGACACCGTGACCAAAAGGTCTCAGCAGACTCTCCGTGCTCCAGCAAGGCTGGAAGTCATTGCCTGCTGATGCCCTGATGCATCTTGACCACTTGTGTCCATGTGCTGCAGGCAAAGGCCACACTCAGTTGTGCACACACGTGCAGAGGCAGCCACCTCTGCTGAGTTCACTGGCACTAATGTCCCAACCTGCAGCAACTCTACCCCTGTGGCACTCAGACCCTGTGGGCAGAAGGCTCTTTGGAAACCTTTATTTATGTCCCTATTGAGCAGCCATTTGTCCCACCAAAGACCTCTAACAAACAGATAACCTTCCTATTAAGTAGATTTTTCCTGTTCATAGCAAATAAACCTACAATTGCTTAAGATACTCTATTTACTGCAACTAACAGCATTAACGGGACAATCAGTCCAGCATGTTGTTTCTGCTAATTCCTTGAAGAATTATCTCTTAGTAGATGGGTAATCAAGAGGCAGCACAACACTAAGACCAATCAGAAAAATAAGATACTGTCAAATGAATTCATGTTTATCCTATTTAACAAGGCAGAGTCTTTTATATTGCTTCCTACAAAGGATGAAGCCACTATCATTTAATTTTATACAATATGTATGGATGGGATGTAAAGGCATGTTTAAGGACTCAAGATAGAGTATCTAATACAGCAGGTTAAATATGACGAGCAAGTCTCAAGTTTCTCCCTTATTTTCTAACATACAAATTTCAACACGACTATTAGCTTGCCATTCATCCACCCATAAAGAGACGCAGAATTAAAAATAGGAGCATTCTGCTCCACTAAATGATGGTGACTCAACAACTTCGCCATCAGTCTACACACAGGAGTAATCAAACATACAGAAAGATGCTTGGATTTATAAATAACCAGTTAACACTAAATTCCAGTGAAGAAATCCCAGAGAAACAAACAGAAAACAAATCCAGCACCCAGAGATCTTTGATCTGTTTTTCAGAAAGCTAGCGGGTAATACACTTGCAATTATTTTCCAAGCAAAATGTGACTGTCCTAAGAATTCAGCATGGAAAAGCAGCGATTCCTCTGAGGCAGTGAAACATCTGAGTATGGCTGAAACCGCATCAGCCATCTACTTTCTAGAAGGGTCTGCACATGGGGGAGGCAAACTTTGGTTAGCACGAGACTGCATCACCTTGCTCCAGCGATGGGATGACCCAGCTTTGCTTTCTAATCGCCTTCCAGAAGCACGAAGGTGTCACGGGTGTGTAAAAGCATTTGTGAAACAGCCAGCATCTCAGTGACCTGCACTGGGGATAACCCAAAATGGGGAGCAGATCCAGCACGATGCAACACTGCAGCAGAGCTACAAGAGAGGTCCAGGTGCCTCTCTTGTGCACATGTACCTGCATGTTAGTGTGTGCATGCAAGTACTCAGCAATATTCAATAGCAACATATTCCTCCATCTCCCAGCCAAGACAACAGAATCTCCTCTGCCATCTGCCTTCAGGTCTCCATTTGAAAAATCAAATAATTGTTTTTACATTGCTCTTGTGGAGCCCTCTATACATCATTCCTAATGACAACTAGGACATGAGTAATGTAGCATTTGGGAGCATCCTGGAAAACAGTGGTGACCAGGCCTGTTAGACAGGACTGCAAGCAAACCAAGGGAGAAGACACCCTGGCATTGCCTGGAGAAATGCACGTCCCCTGCGGTTACTGCAGTCCTGGTAATGGAGGGAGAATGGAAGACTGCTCACAAAACACAGCGTACCAATGGTCCTTTGTGCCTCTAATAGAGACAGCAAGAAAATCCCAATTTTGCTTGACCAGCTCATTGCAACAGGCACAGAAACAATTTTCAAAGTGTTAAGCAGTTAAGATCAATTACTGTCCGTGATCCCCTTTGCCCTCAAAAATATACTGCAGCTATCAATTTGCTTTGCTCCCATCTGCCAGAGCTAGCAGCTACTCTCAAGGAGCATTATTTAAACAAAAAGGGCTTTTGGCAATCTCCCAAATGTCAAAGGAGCCAGCCAGGCAGAAAAGGGTGACCCAGAGGAGGATCCACCACCTGGGAGGGTGCTGAAAGCCTGTTCTGCACCACACTGGGCTTGGGACGTTGTCCGTGCCCCCCAGTTTAGCAGGGCTAGAAATACATGTTGGAGTGGCTGGCCAAGCTCATGCCTTGAGGTTGGCAGTGCTGGTGCTATTAGTGCTTTACAGGTGTGGTTTGCTTGGAGGGAGCAACCCAGAAGATGTATTTGAATGCCACTTGGGGCAGCAGGAGGATGCTGCTCAGCACAGGGGGTTGCTGCCTTGTCCCACCCCATTCTCTCTGGCAGATCAGAGCTGCTTCCTCCACCACGTGCTGTCCCCTCTGCTCACCCCATGGAGTGGGGGCCCCTCACGGCTCCCTCCCTTGGGTGCAGGTGCAGCAGCACTGACGTCCAGCCAGCACCCACTGAGCAGCAAAGGACGTACACAGGGGAAGGACCGGCTACAGCTCTAGCAAATAAACAGACAAAAAAATTAACTTTGAAAACAGAGATTTTCATCAGAAAATACTGACAGAGGGACTGCTCCCCCTGGGATGGCAGAATAACTTGTATGTCGTGCTTCTCTTCACATGGCTGCAAGCCGTACAAGGGAATTTGGGCTCACCATCTGGTTTTTGCA